CCCCAAAACCCCAAAACCCCATCAGCCTAATATATAAGGAAAATTTGTTTGAGATTTTAAAAATTAAATTTATCATACAGTTTTTAGGATTTACTCAGCTTTGGGGATTTTAAAAGTAAAATAATTAATTTTAGTAAAATGAAAAATGAATGCTGCCTCTGTGTCAATTTAAATTCGGGTGTTACCTACATTTTCCTATACGATTTCCTATTTTTCGGAGCTTTTGTAGCTAATGCAGTTCTTTATGGTCTATATATTGGTTCAGATGAAAAGTTAGCAGAGTTATATAAAGATAGACTCAAAATTATGACAGATACATTTAGTTATACTCCAACTGAGGCACCACCTTCAAACTTAATGGATTTGCTGAGATATTCTGTCTACCTAATGACTATTGTACCAGGAACGATAGTACTTGTGATATATATTCCGAGAATCATTGGATTCATGTATATGAAATGCTTTCCTTATGATTAAGAAATGAGAAGAAAAGCCTACATTGTAAGAGTTTCTACATCAGTCCTCTTATTAGTGCTTTTAATCGGTTTAGAAACTATAGTAATTGTATTTCTAGTGCAGTCAAATTTCTGGCTCTTTGGTGTAAATATCCTACCTATCATCGCATATGGAGGTGGAATACTCTTGACTATAGCCTTTGATTTATATTTTAGTTGTGTCTATGGAAACTACCACATTTTCGGTTTTGGCACATAAAAAATGTAATCCTTTGATAATAACTGGTCAACAATGAACACTTAAAGGGAGATGATGAAAAGAAGACCAACAGAAGCAAATTCATAATCAAGGATGCCTACTAATGAGTCCTACTCTCCTCAAAAATATTAGTTTTCCCCTTAAGCTACTTAAAAACCAGATTCATAAAATAGAGCTTTTGGTTTTTAAAACCAAAGCCAATAAGGACCAAATATTTAGAAATCTAGATCATAACTAGTTTAAAAATTATCTTTGGGAATTAAAAGTAGAGGAATTATGGAAGGAGTCAGGTTAAACTGAAACCGATGATAATATGAAAATTCTGCTTTGTTAGTAAATTAATCTATATATAAACTTATTCAAGTAGTAACGAATATAATTATGCCTTATTAATTTTATCACTAATCTCTATATTTTCTTTATGTTTTATCAATGGGGTTTTGGGGTTTTGGGGTTTTGGGGTTTTGGGG